TTCACCGACCCCTTTTTACTAATATTCGCTTTCCCCCGGCTACCTTTGCAAATTTGGCCTTAAGAGCAAATCCCTGGCAATATGTTTTCTTATTAAGTTTCTTTTTCCTTTTGAAATTCTTTTACCTACACTTGTCCCTAAACAAATATAAACCAAGGGTACATTAAAATTTTAATGGCCACTTGACCAGTTAATAACAATGTATGGGGCTACACCAGTAAGAGATTCATATGAGTGTACTGTAATTTAATTTTTTTTTATAGAAATTTCAGTGCTTGTTATTTTAAAATCTTGGGTAAAGGGGCTTTTTCCCTTTTAATTCCCAAAATCCAAAATAAATTAAAATTTCCCCCTTGGTAGGGGTTTTTTAAAGAACCAAAAATCTTTTTATGCGGGGCCCAGCAACTCTTTTTAAAAGGAGGGTTTTCAGGGTTTTCCCTTTAAGGGAAATTGGGTTCATCTTTTAGTACCCCCCCTTTACCATGTTGTCTTTTTAGGGAGAGTTTTCAGACAAATTTTTCAAAATTAACCCAAATTTTTAAAAAAAGGGAAAGGGGTATGACAATGACACAAACGTTACAAAGATCATCGAAAGAATTATTTTAGGTTTCTGATAATTTTTGTGAGAGTGTCCAGAAGGACCGGTTGCAAACATCTCCTGGTTCCCTGATTGGGAAACATGATTCCGGGGCGACCGTTCCGGGCGCATCCGCCCCCTCACCACGCCCCAAAAAAAGCCAGTCTCCCGCACTATCACCTCAGTGTCCAATTTTTTACCAGTGTGCCATCACCCCTCAGGTTCATACAATACATTTCATAATAATCCATTGTTTTTTGTGCTTGCAACTGCTAAATAAGTCACCATGGGCCCAAGGAAAGCTAGTGCCAGCCATTTGGTAAAGAAATTGAGGAACATGATTGAAGTCAAGAAGGAAATCAATGAAAAATATGAGAGCGGAGTGCATGTTACAGAACTTGCCAGGATGTATGGCAAACCCCATTCAACCATCACTTTGACTGTGGCGAAGGGAAAGGAAATAAAGTGTGCTGTTGTTGTAAAAAGGGTAGATATGCTGACAAAAAAGAGATTGCAAACCCTTGAAGAAGTGGAAAGGTTATTGTTGGTGTGGATTACTCAAAAACAGTTAGCAGGAGATAGCATTATGCAGTCGATAATATGTGAAAAGGCAAGGCAGTTGCGTAACGATCTCATAAAGAAAATGCCTGCAATGAATGGTGATGCTTGTGAGTTTAAGGCCAGCAAAGGATGTTTTGAGAGATTTAACCCTTTGACTGTTTCGGTCGTATATATACATCTTACGAGCCACCGTGTTTGCGTATATGTACGTACTCATAAATTCTAGCGGCTTCAAATCAAGCAGGAGAAAGCTGGTAGGCCCACATGTGAGAGAATGGGTCTGTGTGGCCAGTGTGCACCATATAAAAAAATCCTGCAGCACGCAGTGCATAATGATAAAAAAAAACTCCGACCATTTTTTTAATTAAAATGCCGAATTTGTGGTCTATTTTCGTATAGTATTTATGGTTGCATTCTCGTTTTCTTGGTCTCATTTGATTGAATGGAAAACATATTATAGAAATAGAGGTTATTTTGATTGGTTTTACTATGAAAAAGAACCTTGAAATGGAGCTCAAAGTAGGGGAAATGTTTGATTTTTGCCGATGTTCAAAAGTAAACAAATGATGTCATTTTCCAATAAATGTCCAACTAGCTATTCTAATATGCAGTCATGAATGGATTGACATTATTTATACAATTATTATAATATTGCAGTAGTCTGCACAACAGTAAATCTTCTATTTTTTATTTGAATAAAAATTCAAAATAGAAAGCAAGAGTAATATCAGAGGGGCCTGGAGATGTGACTGATGAACAAAGAAAATGTTATTTTAGAGCCAGGAATGTCTACATTGTTCATTCTGGACCCTATTTTGAAATCGTCATATTTTTTAATTTTCTTGAAATTGGTCAAATTGCAAATTTCTGACCACGTTATTGGGTAGTTGAAATTGATAAATGGGCAGTTTCTTGTACTCAATCGATAGAAAAAATGGAGTTCTAAAGAAATAGCTATGAGTTTGGTCGACTGGAACAATGGAATTAGCCGAAAATAGGGCTCAAAGTGGGTGAAATTGCCAATTAATAAATATCGCCAAGGTCGCTAACTTTGCGATAGTGTAATTCCATCAGTTTTCCATCAGATTTTGTTCTTTTGGTGTCATTGCAATTGGGAAAAGATTCTTTATCATTTCGTGAGAAAAAATAATTGTTTTTTTTTTTCAGAAATTTTGCGACACCAGGAGACACCTCAGGATTTGGGGTTGCGACAGTCAAGGGGTTAAGAAGTGTAGTGGCATACACAGTGTGGTGAGGCTGCCAGTTTTGCCAAAAAAGCAGCTGAGAAGTTTGTACAGGAGTTTAAGGAGTACGTAGACACTGGAGAATTCTAACCCTAACAAGTGTTCACTTGTGACGAAACAGGCCCCTTTTGGAAGAAAATGTCAAAGAGGACCTACAGCACTCCCAGGACAGGTTAACTCTCATGTTTTGTAGTAATGCTAGTGGGGATTGCAAAGTGAAGCCTTTACTGATGTATCACTGAAAATCCCAGAGTGTTCAAGAAAAACAATGTCACCAAGAGTAATTTGTGTGTGATGTGGAAAGCTAACAGTAAGGCATGGGTCACAAGGGAAATTTTCCTTGACTGGTTTAATGTAGTGTTTGGCCCCAGTGTGAAGAAATACCTCCTGGAAAATAAATTGCCACTCAAGTGCCTCCTGGTAATGGATAATGCTCCTGCTCATCCTCCAGACTTGGAAGAGCAAATGGTGGAGGACTTTACTTTCATCATGGTGAAGTTCTTGTCCCCTAATACAACTCCTCTCCTCCAGCCCATGGACCAGCAGGTCATTTCAAACTTCAAAAAACTGTACACCAAAGCAGTGTTTCAAAAGTGCTTTGAAGTGACCTCAGACACTGAATTGACCCTGAGAGAGTTCTGGAAAGATCACTTCAGTATCTTCACTTGCATAAACCTTATAAGTAAGGCTTGGGAGGAAGTGTCTTGCAGAACTTTGAATTCTGCTTGGAGAAAATTGTGGCTACAATGTGTACAAGAGAGGGATTTTGAAGGGTTTGGGGCTGACCCTAAGGAGCCTATGCCAATTGTAGAAAGTATTGTGTCGCTGGGGAATTCCATGGGGTTGGATGCGAGTTTCGAGGATGTGGAAGAGTTGGTGGAGGACCATGATGAAGAGCTAACCACTGCAGAGCTGCAAGAGCTTCATCTGCAACACCAACAGACCACAGCTCAGGAAATTGCTGCAGGGGAGGAGGAAGAGAGATGAAGGAAGGTGCCTTCTTCAAAGATTAAGGATATTTGTGCAAAGTGGACTAAAGTGCAATTATTTATGGATGAACTTCACCCTGACAAAGCTGTTGCAGGCCATGTTGGCAACATGTACAATGACTGTTGTGTCCCACTTCAGAGAAATCTTAAAGAAACGCCAGAACCAGAGCTCTCTGGGCAGATATTTTGTGTGACAGGGGTCCAGTGACTCTCAATTTGTTCCCAGTGTCATTAAAAAACAAAGAAAGGAAGTAACCCTAGATAAGGACTTGGTACCTGAAGTCTTTATGGAAGGGGATTCCCCTTCCAAACAATAGTGTACACCTTCCTCCTATCCCCACCTCCCATCTTCCATCCACCCAAAAGTCTTCAGTAAAGGTAAGTGTAATGTTGTTATTATTTTATATATGTATGTACTTGATTTCTCATTGTTTTCTGTATGTAAATCTTTATTTTATTTAATTTAAAAAAAAAAATTAAATATTTTTGAGTGTCTGGAACGGATTAATTTTATTTCCATTATTTCTTATGGGGAAAATAGTTTCGCCATTCAGCAATTTCGTCATTATGCAGACACTCTGGAACGAATTAATCACGAAACTCGGGGGTCCACTGTATTTGGGAGTTGACATGTCAGCGGATGGGTTTATGAAGTATGAGGTTAACCTTAGAATTGATTAAGGAAAAAAGGTGAGTGGTGCAATGAGGTATATGTGAAGACAAAAAACATTATCTATGGAGGCAAAGAAGGGAATGTATGAAAGTATAGTGGTACCAACACTCTTATATGGGTGTGAAGCTTGGGTTGTAAATGCTGCAGCGAGGAGGCAGTTGGAGGCAGTGGAGATGTCCTGTCTAAGGGCAGTGTGTGGTGTAAATATTATGCAGAGAATTTGGAGTGTGGAAATTAGGAGAAGGTGTGGAGTTAATAAAAGTATTAGTCAGAGGGCTGAAGAGTGTTTGTTGAGGTGGTTTGGTCAATTAGAGAGAATGACATGGAGAGCGTATAAATCTGTAGGGGAAGGAAAGCAGGGTTAGAGTCATCCTCGAAAAGGTTGGAGGGAGGGGGTAAAGGAGGTTTTGTGGGCGAGGGGCTTGGACTTCCAGCAAGCATTAGTGAGCATGTTAGATAGTAAATGGAGATGAATGGTTTTTGGGACCTGACAAGCTGTTGGAGTGTGAGCAGGGTAATATTTAGTGAAGGGATTCAGGGAAACCGGCTATTTTTATAGAGCCAGACTTAAGTACTGGAAATGGGAAGTACAGTGCCTGCACTTTAAAGGAGGGGGTTTAGGATATTGGCAGTCTGGAGGGATATGAGATATATCTTTATATATGCTTGTAAACTGTTGTATCTATGCACCTCTGCAAAGACAGTGATTATGTATGAGTGAGGTGTAAGTGTTGAATGATGATGAAAATATTTTCTTTTTGGAGATTTTCTTTCTTTTTGGGTCACCCTGCCTAGGTGGGAGATGGCTGACTTGTTGAAAAAAAAAAACCTATATGTCCTTAAATCTATGATTATCATTTTTTATAACTGAAATAAGTCTGTCTAGGAGGATACTGACTGCTGTATTATATAAATAAGTTCAAGGTTTATTGCAATGTAATGTTCTTTACTTACAGCTGTGCAACAATAGTGTTTGTGGCATGTATGTAAGTCAGGGAGACAGAGGAGCATATGTTCTAGCTGGTGGCACGGATGGTAGACTCCGTTATTGGGATCTTTGTGAACCTGAATCTTCATATATTGTTTGCCATGCTGCCAATGACCCATACTTGCAGTGGCCTATTTCCTACAGGTATTACTATTACTTTATTGATTCTTTACCTTATTCTGCCTTAATAGAGTAAGACCTCACATGTATTATCTTCACACAAACATCATAAAAAATTTGAACAATAATACCTTATTGTTTAATATCCGAGTTAAAAATTTGGTTCCAGAGAACCTGGTAAGAAAGGGATATATTCATCAATGATTTTGCATTTCATTATTATACAATATCACTGTTAACTATTTTTTTTTTATAACCCTCAGTCTGATTATTACCTAGATCTATCTACATCTTTGATTCCTTGGCCCATTATTTTCACATCTGAGCCATACACTCCATTTGCTGTTGTTATTATTCATTGTTATCTAAGACTCTCAAAGAAAATTAAAAACAATTCAAACCTCTGAGTCCTCACATTCAATTCTGCATGCTACATTTTTAGTAGACACATAGAGAATAACAGAACGGTATATATATAATTGGGGCCCTGATATTATATCCTATGTGGTAAATAGTATAGTTTATTATATTATTTCATGTCACCTTTTTATATTGTTATTTTATTTTTTTATTATCACACTGGCCGATTCCCACCAAGGCAGGGTGGCCCGAAAAAGAAAAACTTTCACCATCATTCACTCCATCACTGTCTTGCCAGAAGGGTGCTTTACACTACAGTTTTTAAACTGCAACATTAACACCCCTCCTTCAGAGTGCAGGCACTGTACTTCCCATCTCCAGGACTCAAGTCCGGCCTGCCGGTTTCCCTGAATCCCTTCATAAATGTTACTTTGCTCACACTCCAACAGCACGTCAAATATTAAAAACCATTTGTCTCCATTCACTCCTATCAAACACGCTCACGCATGCCTGCTGGAAGTCCAAGCCCCTCGCACAACAAAACCTCCTTTACCCCCCTCCCTCCAACCCTTCCTAGGCCGACCCCTACCCCGCCTTCCTTCCACTACAGACTGATACACTCTTGAAGTTATTCTGTTTCGCTCCATTCTCTCTACATGTCCGAACCACCTCAACAACCCTTCCTCAGCCCTCTGGACAACAGTTTTGGTAATCCCGCACCTCCTCCTAACTTCCAAACTACAAATTCTCTGCATTATATTCACACCACACATTGCCCTCAGACATGACATCTCCACTGCCTCCAGCCTTCTCCTCGCTGCAACATTCATCACCCATGCTTCACCACCCATATAAGAGCGTTGGTAAAAACTATACTCTCATACATTCCCCTCTTTGCCTCCAAGGACAAAGTTCTCTGTCTCCACAGACTCCTAAGTGCACCACTCACTCTTTTTCCCTCATCAATTCTATGATTCACCTCATCTTTCATAGACCCACGCTGACAAAGTCCACTCCCAAATATCTGAATACGTTCACCTCCTCCATACTCTCTCCCTCCAGTCTGATATTCAATCTTTCATCACCTAATCTTTTTGTTATCCTCATAACCTTACTCTTTCCTGTATTCACCTTTAATTTTTCTTCTTTTGCACACCCTACCAAATTCATCCACCAATCTCTGCAGCTTCTCTTCAGAATCTCCCAAGAGCACAGTGTCATCAGCAAAGAGCAGCTGTGACAACTCCCACCCTGTGTGTGATTCTTTATCTTTTAACTCCACGCCTCTTGCCAAGACCCTCGCATTTACTTCTCTTACAACCCCATCTATAAATATATTAAACAACCACTGTGACATCACACATCCTTGTCTAAGGCCTACTTTTACTGGGAAAAAATTTCCCTCTTTTCTACATACTCTAACTTGAGCCTCACTATCCTCGTAAAAACTCTTCACTGCTTTCAGTAACCTACCTCCTACACCATACACTTGCAACATCTGCCACATTGCCCCCCTATCCACCCTGTCATAAAGCCTTTTCCAAATCCATAAATGCCACAAAGACCTCTTTAGCCTTATCTAAATACTGTTCACTTATATGTTTCACTGTAAACACCTGGTCCACACACCCCCTACCTTTCTAAAGCCTCCTTGTTCATCTGCTATCCTATTCTCCGTCTTACTCTTAATTCTTTCAATTATAACTCTACCATACACTTTACCAGGTACACTCAACAGACTTATCCCCCTATAATTTTTGCACTCTCTTTTATCCCCTTTGCCTTTATACAAAGGAACTATGCATGCTCTCTGCCAATCCCTAGGTACCTTACCCTCTTCCATACATTTATTAAATAATTGCACCAACCACTCCAAAACTATATCCCCACCTGCTTTTAACATTTCTATCTTTATCCCATCAATCCCGGCTGCCTTACCCCCTTTCATTTTACCTACTGCCTCACGAACTTCCCCCACACTCACAACTGGCTCTTCCTCACTCCTACAAGATGTTATCCTCCTTGCCCTATACACGAAATCACAGCTTCCCTATCTTCATCAACATTTAACAATTCCTCAAAATATTCCCTCCATCTTCCCAATACCTCTAACTCTCCATTTAATAACTCTCCTCTCCTATTTTTAACTGACAAATCCATTTGTTCTCTAGGCTTCCTTAACTTGTTAATCTCACTCCAAAACTTTTTCTTATTTTCAACAAAATTTGTTGATAACAGCTCACCCACTCTCTCATTTGCTCTCTTTTTACATTGCTTCACCACTCTCTTAACCCTCTCTCTTTTTCTCCATATACTCTTCCCTCCTTGCATCACTTCTACTTTGTAAAAACTTCTCATATGCTAACTTTTTCTCCCTTACTACTCTCTTTACATCATCATTCCACCAATCGCTCCTCTTCCCTCCTGCACCCACTTTCCTGTAACCACAAACTTCTGCTGAACACTCTAACACTACATTTTTAAACCTACCCCATTCCTCTTCGACCCCATTGCCTATGCTCTCATTAGCCCATCTATCCTCCAATAGCTGTTTATATCTTACCCTAACTGCCTCCTCTTTTAGTTTATAAACCTTCACCTCTCCTCTTCCCTGATGCTTCTATTCTCCTTGTATCCCATCTACCTTTTACTCTCAGTGTAGCTACAACTAGAAAGTGATCTGATATATCTGTGGCCCCTCTATAAACATGTACATCCTGAAGTCTACTCAACAGTCTTTTATCTACCAATACATAATCCAACAAACTACTGTCATTTCGCCCTACATCATATCGTGTATACTTATTTATCCTCTTTTTCTTAAAATATGTATTACCTATAACTAAACCCCTTTCTATACAAAGTTCAATCAAAGGGCTCCCATTATCATTTACACCTGGCACCCCAAACTTACCTACCACACCCTCTCTAAAAGTTTCTCCTACTTTAGCATTCAGGTCCCCTACCACAATTACTCTCTCACTTGGTTCAAAGGCTCCTATACATTCACTTAACATCTCCCAAAATCTCTCTCTCTCCTCTGCATTCCTCTCTTCTCCAGGTGCATACACGCTTATTATGACCCACTTCTCGCATCCAACCTTTACTTTAATCCACATAATTCTCGAATTTACACATTCATATTCTCTTTTCTCCTTCCATAACTGATCATTTAACATTACTGCTACCCCTTCCTTTGCTCTAACTCTCTCAGATACTCCAGATTTAATCCCATTTATTTCCCCCCACTGAAACTCTCCTACCCCCTTCAGCTTTATTTCGCTTAGAGCCAGGACATCCAACTTCTTTTCATTCATAACATCAGCAATCATCTGTTTCTTGTCATCCGCACTACATCCACGCACATTTAAACAACCCAGTTTTATAAAGTTTTTCTTCTTCTCTTTTTTAGTAAATGTATACAGGAGAAGGGGTTACTAGCCCATGCTCCCGCATTTTAGTCGCCTCATACGACACGCATGGCTTACGGAGGAAAGATTCTTTTCCACTTCCCCATGGACAATAGAAGAAATAAAAAAGAACAAGAGCTATTTAGAATAAGGAGAAAAACCTAGATGTATGTATATATATATATGCATGTGCGTGTCTGTGAAGTGTGACCAAAGTGTAAGTAGGAGTAGCCAGATATCCCTGTTATCTAGCGTGTTTATGAGACAGAAAAAGAAAACCAGCAATCCTACCATCATGCAAAACAGTTACAGGTTTTTGTTTCACAGTCATCTGGCAGGATGGTAGTACTTCCCTGGGTGGTTGCTGTCTACCAACCTACTACTATATTGTATCTTTATATATGCTTCTAAGCTGTTGTATCTGGACGCCTCTGCAAAAGCAGTGATTATGTATGAGTGGGGTGAAAGTGTTGAATGATGATGAAAGTTTCATTTTGGGGATTTTCTTTTTGGGCCACCCTGCCTCAGTGGGAGACAGCTAACTTGTTGAAAAAAAGAAAAAGAGAGTGATATTTTTGGATTTCTGACTACAATCAAATTTCAGGAAAATCAACTTGCAAAATCTTCAGTTTATTGCACTGCTCAAGACCTTACAATCTCCAGCAGATAGATGCTGGTTTCTGTTTTCCAGTACTAGGTTATTTCTTGCAATATATCTAGCAGGCATTCTTGGTCTTCATTAGTGACCATCAAATCTAGCATCAAAATAAATTGGGTTTCAAACTGTTGGCATGTTTTTAGAAGTTACTAGCTCTTTATTTTCAGTATTGTCAAGCCTTGATTTAGCAGACTTACAGGAGGGTGGAGGTGTCTGTTAATGTCGGTTGTCCATTAACCCTTTGACTGTTGCGGCCGTATATATGCGTCTTACGAGGTACAGTGTTTGACATATATATACTCATAAATTCTAGCGGCTTCAAATCAAGCAGGAGAAAGCTGGTAGGCCCACATGTGAGAGAATGGGTCTGTGTGGTCAGTGTGCACCATATAAAAAAATCCTGGAGCACGCAGTGCATAATGAGAAAAAAAAAACTCCAACCGTTTTTTTTAATTAAAATGCTGACTTTGTGGTCTATTTTCGTATAGTATTTATGGTTGTATTCTTGTTTTCTTGGTCTCATTTGATAGAATGGAAAACATATTATAGAAATAGAGGTGATTTTGATTGATTTTACTATAAAAAGAACCTAGAAATGGAGTTCAAAGTAGGGGAAATGTTTGATTTTTGCCAATGTTCAAAAGTAAACAAATGATGCCATTGCCCAATAAATGTCCAACTAGCCATTCTAATATGCAGTCTTGAATAGGTTGATGTTATTTATACAATTATTACAGTATTGCAGTAGTCTGCATAATAGTAAGACTTCTATATTTTGTTTGAATAAAAATTAAAAACAGAAAGTAAGAGTAATATCAGAGGGGCCTGGAGACATTACTGATGAGCAAAGAAAATGTTATTTTAGAGCCAGGAATGTCTGCATTGTTCATTCTGGACCTTATTTTGAAATTGTCATATTTTTTAGTTTTTGTGAAATTGGCCAAATTGCAAATTTCTGACCACATTATTAGGTAGTTGAAATTGGTAAATGGGCAATTTCTTGCACTCAATCGATAGAAAAAATGAAGTTCTAAAGAAATAGCTATGAGTTTGGGCGACTGGAACAATGGAATTAGCCGAAAATAGGGCTCAAAGTGGGCGAAATTGCCGATTTGTAAACAGCACCGAGGTCGCTAACTTCGAGAGAGCATAATTCCGTCAGTTTTCCATCAAATTTCGTTTTTTTGGTGTCATTACAATCGGGAAAAGATTCTCTATCATTTCATAAGAAAAAATAATTTTTTTTGCTTTTTTTTAAAATTTGCGACACCAGGAGACACCTCAGGATTGGGGGTTGCGACAATCAAAGGGTTAAGTCCAAGTGATGAGACTGTTTTCCCTTGATCATAATAATAACTGACAATTCTGGATTTAATCCTTTCACTGTCGGTCCCATAATATTATGGCTTGCAAGCCAGTGTCATTCCCATAATAGTATGCCAAAATTCTAGTGGGTTCCAATCTTGTGGGAGAAGGCTGGTAGGCCTACATATAAGAGAATGGATCTTAGTGGTCAGTGTGCGCAGTAAAAAAAATCCTGCAGCACACAGTGCATAATGAGAAAAAAACTCCGACCATATTTTTCCTTTAAAACAGCAACTTTCATATGGTATTCTCATTCTCTTGGTCTCATTTGATAGAATGGAAGATATATTACAGAACTAGAAATTATTTTGAATTGTTTAAGGACTAAAAGTGCCTTGAAATTGAGCTCAAATTAGCGGAAATGTTCAGTTTTTGCCGATGTTCAAGAGTAAACAGATCACGTCACTTATCCAATACACATCAAACTGGTGGGTCTAATATGCTTTCACAACTGCAGTGATATTATTTATACCATTTTTACAATAATGCAGTAGTCTGCATAGCAGTAAATTTTCTATTTTTGTGAATTAAAAAAATATAAGAGAGGCCTGAAGACATGACTAATGAACAGAAAGAATGTTATTTTAGTGCCTAGGAATGTTTGCATTGTTAATTCTGGACCCTATTTTGAAATTGGCCTTCCTGGAATTGTGTATGAAGTTGACCGAATTACCAATTTCTGATCACTTTATTGAGTAGTTGAACTTAGTAAATGGGCAGTTTCTTGTACTCAATTGATAGAACAGGAGTTCTAGCGATATAGCTATGAGTTTGGTTGACTGGGACAATGGAATTGGCTGAAAATAGGGCTCAAAGTGGGAAAAATCGCTGATGCGTAAATATCGCCGAGACCACTAAATTTGCGAAAGCGTAATTCTTCATTTTTTCCATCAAATTCATACTTTTGGTGTCATTACTATCACAAAAAGATTTTCTGTCATTTCATAAGATTTTTTTTTTTTTTTTTTTTTTTTTTTTTTTTTTTTTTTTTTTTTTTTTTTTTTTTTTTTTTAATCGACACTGAGAACAAGTTTGTGAGCAGGGGTCTCGACAGTGAAAGGGTTAATGAACAAAGTCTGTTAAATCCATAATCGTGGGTCTAGTATTCATGGTTTCAGTTGTCCGCGGTTTCCTATGGCCCAAAAATAACCCTTAATTTTGCTTAATGATGACCTCAAAGTGCAGTAGTGATGATGGAAGTTCTTCATAGCCTAAGAGAAATGTGAAGTGCTTCCCATCAGTGAAAAAGTGATAATTCTCCACTTATTATGCATAATTTATCAATTAAACTTTATAATAAGTGTTTATGTAAACGAAAAATGACTTATATAGTATAGGGTTCGCTACTATTTACTGTCAGTATCCACAGCATGCCCATGGAACATATACCCCATGGAAACAGGGATCCTATTGTATTTATTCAGCAGACAGTAACAGTAATGAAAAATTCTGGCTATAACACACTTTGTCTGTTAAATTCAAAATTAATACACCCAGTAAACTATAACAGATAATGGAAAATTCTAGATTTAGTGGACTTTTCCTAGCCACAGATTTTGTCTGTTATATTCCAAATCTATTAAATCAGGGTTTTACCATATTTTTCAGTTCTGCTTCATATTGTGTTAATCTACTTATTAATTATTTCTCAGTTACATAAATCAGATTTGGTTTTGTATACAGGAAATTATTAGTGTTGATAAATAGATATTAATAATAAGTTATAACTAAAAATGCAAAAACACTGCTCTACAGTACAGTACTTCTCTTTTTGAAAGACATGTGTAATTGTATTAAAATTATATTTAAAACTTTAATGACATAATGTATCAAGAGTATACTAATAGTACTTCTTCAATAACAGCTCTCGTGTTGTTGATGGTACGGAAGTGATTGTAGAAACTGCAAACAAACCTCGTAGCACACCTTCCAGTAGTGATGACACACCCAAGAGAGGACCAGACCAGCCTCCACCAGGCCATAAAGACATTATAACAGATGTCATTGTTATGAATGAACCTCAGCGACTAGTCATTACTTCCGGCAGAGATGGAACTATAAAGATGTGGAAATAAAAGCATTGGTAGTCATTTACTTAATTTTAAGTGTTGAAAAAATTGTGTAAAATAAACATTTTTTATTGAAAGTTTCCTTGATGCCATTATGTGCATTGAAACAGTGAAATACAGTAACTTCTTATTCTGATGGAAATTTTATTTGATTTTAGTATTTTTTACAGGTAGTGCATACAGAAAGTGTATATATACAGAGAACCCCATATATACAGCACCTCTTTTGGTATTCCATGTTTTCATTGGCTTTCAATTGAGCCATTGTTCCACCTGCCAGCGAAGATTGCCAGCGGGTGGAGCATAATGAAAAATGGTTCAGTTTGAAGCCAGCAAAAACATGAAACATTAAAAAGAAGGTGCTATCTATGCAGGGTCCTTGTGTTTAGTCTTGTCAATGGATACAATGAGAATATGAAATCTTTGTCTTTCTTTCAACAAACCAGCCATATCCCACCAAGGCAGGGTGGCCCAAAAGAAAAAACAAAAGCTTCTCCTTTTAAATTTAGTAATATATATAAGAAAAGGGGTTAGAACATGAAATATACTGAAGAAATACATCTCTTAGAAGATGTATATATCATGAGACAGTAAATGTAACTTGTATGATGGCTACATGTTAAATATACAGTAGACCCTTATATTACACATATTTATTTGGCATGTTTTGGCTATTGTGCTATTGAAAAATTACAGCAAAATTTTAAACATTTTGTAAAATTAACTTAACACGGTTCAGTTTGCAGGAGGAGAAAAAATTTGGATGGACTCCGACTCTAACCTGGCAATACGAAGCTTCTGGAATAAATTTAACATTGCAGATGCCATCAGCTATGCTAGAAGTGCATGGAAGGAAGTGCCCCAATCAACATTAAATGCAGGCTGGGGAAAGTTATGGCCTTTTGTAGTTAATTCTCTCACTGGTTTTTCCTTGCTCAAGAGTCAGGTTCAGGAAGTTGTTCAGCTAGCAAGGAAATTACTAGGTGATGGCTTTGAAGACAGTGGCGGCTCATGTATAGATACAGCAGAACTGCAGCACCCCCTATTTTCACTCGATATTATCAGTAACATTCAATATAATGAGCTTTTTCTTTAATATTTCTTTATACTTGTACATTATATAATGCTTAAGCTTAATGTCAGTAGCCATCCTCTAGTACATGAAAAAATTGCAAAAATCCTTGTATGGAACTGGCGCTTCACAGTTCCAGCGACTCGGTGTTTGGCTGTTGTGCGCAAGCACACATGTCCAAGATAAGATGCTGCATGCTAGGTAGAGAGAGCACTGTCAGTGATGCAGTGCCGACCCTGTTGTGCAAGTGCAAGGTAGTGCTTCTTTTTGACTCAGCGATGTGTGTTGTGCTTAAAAACCATGTACCATATTCTTGAATGTGATAAAGTGTAGAATTAGATGATTATCATGCTTCCAGCTATTTTATTTAACCCGTAAACGGACCAAGCAGATCTACGTTCGCATGTGTAGTTCTACAAAAGTAGGTCTACATTTTTTTTTTACATATTTTCAAGTATAACAAAAAAAAAAGTAAATCAAAGTTTTTTTACACATTTTCAAATGTAAAAAAACAAAAAGAAGATCTACTTTTTTTACATTCAAATGTTGAAAAAACGTATATATACGTTTGGACCGTTTACGGGTTAATTCATAGTTTTTTCAGTTCTTTTATTTTACACAATAATAAAACAATGGCTAAAAATTTTCTGAAGCAGCACCTCTACTAATTTTAGCTATGAACTGCCACTGTTTGAAGATGTGAATGAAGATGTGAATGGGCTCTTAAAAGATGATGATGAAGAAGATAGGAATCCAGAGGAAATGTTGCCAGAGCTCAGTGCACAGATACAAGGGAGCCAGATAGCAAAGAAGATGAAGAACCTGAAGAAAAACAGTTAACATTGCAGTAGTTATGTGAGCAGTTCCATGTTGCTGCTAAACTAGCAGACTTTTTCACTAAAGAGGACACTGATAAATCTAGAAGCAGTGCTTTGAAACAGGGCCTAGACCAGCTGATGATGCCTTACCATCAGCTGTATAATGTACTGCAGGGTAAAAGAAGCCAGAAATCCATTACAGAATTTATACATACTCCAATAGAACCATCAACTTTAGTACCAGAACCTCACCCATCCACTTCTGCTGACAACCAACAACCATCCACCTCAGCCCAGTAGGGCCACACCATGCATCCCCACTCTAATCACTGATATACACCAGCAACCACAATTTAAGGTAAATATTATTATTTCTGTTTCATTTGTAGTCTTAACCCTTTCACTGTCGGTGATGTATAGATAAGACTTACAAGCCAGTGTCAGTGTGTGGTCAGTGTGCCCAGCATAAAAAAAAAACAGGGAGGCCGTAGTACATTGTGGGAGTGTTAATTCAGCATGCCTTGTTCACAGATGCCTAGCGGTAAGGAATTCCTCACTCTCCGGCAAATTGGGACTCTTCCCAAATGACTTATTTCCATGTGGGTGATGGGGAAGGCAGTGTGGGTTTGTGCAAACATGTTTTGTAAACAATAAATGATAACAATAGTTGTGCGGTTATTGTGTTGCATACAAGTGGTTATATACAGCTTCCTCTCACTTAACGTTGGAGTTTCGTTCCCATGACCACGTCGTTAAACGAATTCATTGCTAAGTGAGGAGCATACTATAATGGTAGTGAGTTTGTGTCAACCATCTTTGATATTGTTTTAATGTCACCTTTGCACTATAACATTTCTGTTATATTTTTAAATGTTTATACAGTAGTGTACTATATATTGAAATAAACAGAATAGAGGAAATCAGCTCTAATATACATTATTTAGGTATGAATACCGGTCAGAAAGCCTGTCGTAAGTCCGAGGCATCGGTAAACGAGTAATTCGCTAAGTGAGGAGAGGCTGTATACATTATGCATTATATTGGTCTCACAGGCCACAAAAGGTACTTGAAAAAATAAAATATTAGAAAAGAAAAGAGAAAAAATAGAATAAAAGTAAAAATAATATTACCGAGTGAGCGGCAGTCGCTGATGTTGCCGTAAGCGGTTCACTTTCTGTCAACTTCATGCCTTTGTATCTCAGTAAGTACTGATTGCAATTTTTTTTTTTAAACAATCAGAAAAATATTCTTAAGATTTTGGTAAGAAAAATATTTTTTTTTTTTTTTTCGAATATTTTTTGACACTGAGAGCAAGTTTGTGATCAGTGACTTCAACAGTGAAAGGGTTAAGCAACAAAAACAACATTATCATTTTTATTTTTTTAAGATCTGGATGTCTAAAAAAAAGTTGTTTGGCTTTTTGGGGGGCCCAAGGAATGTAACCCTATTTCTTCATAAGTTCTTAAGTTTATATAACATAGATTTATCTAACACGGCATTTTCAGGAACATAACTACAGTGTAATGTAAGGGTCTACTGTATTGTTATACCTGGTAGAGTTGGCTAGGTTTACCTGTATAACTTAGATATAAATATTTTATATTCCACTGTGTGAAAGTATTCACCTAGGTAGGTAAACCATTTACTACATCCATGGCCATTATGACAGGCATATAGTTATTACAAGAGTTTAATTATTTAGTTATCTACTTCATTACTATTACTGCACCACCACCTCATTCATTTGTACTGTGAATTAAGGTTTATTTTTTATTTTCTAATATTTTAGGTTGCCAGTGTTCTAATGAAAAAAAAATTCATAATTCTATTCCTTCATGAACTCATTCTTGTAATTTTTCTCACTTCAATCACTGGACACCCATTTGATATTCTAGTTACATTATATTAATTTCTTGCTCATCTTCAATTTCTTCCTTGCATGTCTTATCATCTGAGCTACTCCTTGAGTATATTAAGTTCCCAGTATATTCAGAGAACTAACAAGAATGAGAGGAGATGCACCTGCCTGACTGGAACTAATCTTCATATGGTGTTTATCATATGTTGAGGTAGTAGTGAACAGTTCCCAACTAGGAGTCTGTGACCTCTGTGTCCTAATATTCGAGTTCCTGGCTGAAGAGTGTGCCACAGTAAGAAGGCATACAGTGGGACACTGAGCTAGACTGAAGGCCAGTGCCAGGAATAATAAAATGTCTTTCACAAATATGCATAGAGATCACCAAGTGATTGAGTCTAATCCAGGATGTGAGGGATGACAAATACAAGAACAATCCTTCGTGTGACAGTGTGAGGAAGTAAATGCTTGGTACAGAAAATTTTGCTTATAAATGTAGAACATGAGGTATATTTGAAAACCAGAAACTGTGTAGGAGGGCCAGAAATAAGTATACTATATTTTGGAAAGAAGTGAAATCAACAGGAAAAACCAGCCCTAGTTATTGTACAGTAAAATACAAAGTGTTGCAGAGGAATCAGTGACAATGGCAGGAAGGTTTGGCTTTCAGATGCTAAAACAATGAATCATTCAAGATAATTACACCTTAGCAGTCTAGATTCCACATCTCAAACATAATGAATGACAAGAAGATTCAGAAGTATTCTACCAGATAAATCTTTAACATTAGAGATATGCTCAGAAAAAGTACTCAATCTCTCAGAGCACTGGTAAAATAGTCTTACAGGAAAAAATGATTGAAACATTAAGGGCACTCAGAGATGTTTTTGAAAAGGTGGCTTAAACCAGATTAGAATGAATGGAACCACTATGAAGAGGAACAGCTAAAAAATAATGGCAGTATGAGAAAGAACTTACGTAGGAGGGTGGTGTGGAGCAAGTGAAATGCATAAGAGATGGTGATTAAGGCAAGCTTCATTTATTAATTCAGAAGTTAATTCGGCAGCACCCAAAGGGTTAGGGATTCATTACATAGAGCAATTAATGGTTAAGAGGCAGGGACAGGAGTTGGAGTTTAGGACATAGTTCCAACAGTACCTTGATGAAACACTGGGAGCCTGCCTTAAAAATTAGTAAAAAGTTAATATTTCTGAATGTGCTCCTCACTGTTTAACTGCTGGTCACTCGAACATTTATATTGTTTCTTTCTCTCATTTAGTTTTATTCTTTGCACAAAAATACATAGAACCTTTTATTTATGTTAGGTTTCACTTACTGGGGGCTCTGTCACATGTAGTGAATCCCTGCTTAACTCCCTAGATAGGGACCAGAATGAAGGTTCATTAAGCAAATCTGATTTTCCCATAAGTGCTTGTTATGCCTTGAGATGTTGACTGAGACAATACTTTTCAATATCTAATTTTTTTTTTTTAATGCTGGAATTTAAAAAAATAATAATAGAAGTGGATCCATTGTTTACTAGCAGCATAGTGGTGTTATAGCTCTCAGGAGTCCATGACATAAAAATAAACATTTGAAATAGAAATACGGAATTTAAAATACTATATGCCCACCAAAGATGAGTCCACTGTTGAGTAGTGTAAAGGCATATATTAGAACACATATTAGAGCAAAGAGGGATAAATGGAGGAAGTTAAGAAGGGAGAGAATCATTTACTTCCTCATTTGAGGAACCCAGTGCAGAGATAATGGTACTGTAGGATAGTGGACTGTGGAAAAAGACACTCGTGTACTGTTCAGGATATTTATTATAGGAAACATTTCAGCCATGAGTGGCTTCTTCAGTCCTAATGCAGAGGTAACTAAGAAACGAGTTTATGTAATAACAGAAGTCAGGTGGAAAACCGTGAGGGTAGTACAAGTAATAGTTGCCCTGAACTGTACACGAGTGTCTTTTACCTTATCTCAGTATCACCATACCATTTCTCATGTTGGACTGAAAGTTGAGCTCGTACTGCATGATGCGCAGCTTGTAGAGGGCTCCTCTCTATCAACTGAATGTGTCCTGGATGTTGAAGGCTGCTCTTTATCAGCTGGTTGTTGAGGGCTGCTTTATATCAGTTGAAGGTGTCCTGAATGTAATGAGCTGCTCTATATCAACTGAAGGTAATCCAGATATTGAGAGCTGCTCTTTATTAACTAAATGTGTCCTGGATGTTCAGGGTTGCTCTCCCTCAACTGAATGTGAGATTACCTTTTGGCACTTCCAATGATTTGCATGACTTATAAAGTGTAAAACATAGGGGACAAATAGAGTTGCATTCCACATACATCCAAGAGAGGCATAAAAAAAATTTTAATGTCATGATGCTTTAAAATGTAATAAGCTTCTGAACTTTAGTGAGGTTCAGACTCTAAAAAGGAAGATGATATGTAGATAAATAATGGTTATATTAATACTGTAGAGTATGCATTACCTATCTCTCCACTGGGTTGATGAGATGTTGAAGGTTGGGTTTGTTGGGATATTGATGTAACTTCATCAGTTGATTGTTGCAGTGGAGTGCTCGGGTATTCTTCTATATACTGCTGGTTTGTTTTACCCCTGCAGTTCTCTATACAGCCCACTGTGCATTTTAAAGTTAAACTATCTAGCACTTATTTTGGGGGGAAAAAGCTTTTTTCCCTAATACTAAGGCCATTAAGTGGAATATTTTTCTTTTTCTTTTCAATCCACACATTACTAAACTTTGCTTTATTTAATTGTAATGACCTGTTTCTCATTCTTTTTACTTTGTCACATTGAGGATTACTCATTGCACAAGCCCATATCTATGTCTCATTGTCTTGAATTGATTGACTTTCTTCTCGATACATGCACCGTCCCCATGATGTGTGCACCACCCTTCAGCATCTTCATTTCCTCTAATTTTTTTCAAAATGGATGAGTTTACATTTAATTTTCTTCCTTGCTTCACCAATATCACCTGCACTTCATTCAGATACCATGATAAATATTCAGACGCGAGATGCGGTGATGAAAAGAAGAAAAACCTGTGCGGTAATACTAACCTATGTGGAAGGCTGTTCATTTACATATGTTCACCCTTCCTTATACCTTCCCTTGCACTGCTAAAAGAAATGAGTTGCCCAGTGTGTAGTGGTGGATCTTGCCTGCCTGCAGCAGCAATCCTGAATGGAAATGCCTGCCACCGGTGGAAATAAATTCTGCAACAGCGCCCATTAACCCTTTGACTGTTTACACCGTATAAATACAGTGGACCCCCGCATAACGATCACCTCCGAATGCGACCAATTATGTAAGCGTATTTATGTAAGTGCGTTTGTAAGTGTATGTTTGGGGATCTGAAATGGACTAATCTATTTCACAATATTCCTTATGGGAACAAATTCGGTCAGTACTGGCACCTGAACATACTTCTGGAGTGAAAAAATATCGTTAACCGGGGGTCCACTGTACATCTTACGCGCCACTGTTTCTGACGTATATATACTCAATAATTCTAGCGGCTTCAAATCAAGCGGAAGAAAGCTGGTAGGCCCACATGTGAGAGAATGGGTCTGTGTGGTCAGTGTGCACCACATAAAAAAAATCCTGCAGCACACAGTGCGTAATGAGAAAAAAAACTGATCGTTTTTTTGGATTAAAACGCCGACTTTGAGGTGTATTTTCGTATAGTATTTATCGATGTATTTGCGTTTTCATGGTCTTAGGTGATAAAATAGAAAACATATTACAGAAATAGAGATGATTTTCATTACTTTGACGATGAAAACGACCTTGAAACTGAGCTCAAAGTAGCGGAAATGTTCGATTTTTACCAATGTTCAGGAGTAAACAAATCACACCACACGTCCAATACACGTCAACTGGGGAGTCTAATATTCTTTCACTAGTGCACTGATATTATTTATACCATTTTTACAATAATGCAGTAGTCTGCATAACAGTAATTTTTGTATTTTTTTGAATGAATAAAAAATCAAAATAGAAAGCAATAATAATATAAGAGGGGCCTAGAGATGTGACTAATGAACAGAGGATATGTTATTTTAGTGCCAAGAATGTCTACCTTGTTTATTCTGGACCCTATTTTGAAATTGGCATCTTTTTTAGTTTGCATGAAATTGGCCAAATTGCCAATTTCTGACCGCCATATTGGGTAGTCCAAATTGGTAAATGGGAGGTTTCTTGTACTCAGCTGATAGATAAAATGGAGTTCTAAAGAAATAGCTGAGAGTTTGGTCAACTGGAACAAAGGAATTGGCTGAAAATAGGGCTCAAAGTCGGCGAAATTGCCGAGACCGCTAACTTCGCGGGAGCGTAATTCCATGAGTTTTCGACCAAATTTCGAACTTTTGGTGTCACTACCATTGGGAAAAGATTCTCTATCATTTCATAAGAAAAAATAATTTTTTTTTTTTTTTTTTTTTTTTTTTTTTTCAAAAATTTATCGACATAGAACAACAGTTTCAGAAAGGGGCCTGAAACAGTCAAAGGGTTAATGAAATGGGTGTGCTTCTGTTGGCAATGAAAAAGTAAATTTAAATTGCAGAAGATTGAAAACACGAGCTATGTTCATGCACTTGAGGTTTTCTATTGTACCTTTTTTGTACTTTCAGGAGCAGGGCTATGCTCAGTGTCTCATCAGTAAATAATTTGTGATATTTTTTTTAATTTTGAATAGTTGTAGCATTTCCTACTGTCTCTTTTAAAGCCATTCCATTGTTTCATCACTGTGACCAAACATTCTAGTTTTCTTTTTGACCTTTTTTTCCTTAATTTATAATTATGGCCTCTTTCTTCTCCTTGCCGAAGATATTAATAAATGAAGTATTCTTTATTTCATACTCTTTTATGACCTTAGGTGTTTATCACATCTTGTTTTTCCTCCTAACAACCACTGAATGCATCTTCAGTGTTTTCAGATTTTCATTATAACTCATGTTTTTGGCACAGAGGTGCATATGTAGCTCTACCCTAGATCTTTCATATCGTTTGCATAGCAAGAGTTTTCAATATTTCATTGCAAAAAAAATGTTTGCCTCTATATTGGCTTCTAATAAGAGATCATTACCCAGTTATGAGTGTACAGTAGTTCACAAATAACCCACAAATAGGAAAGGGGAAAGTAATAATAACGTTTCAGTCATACTTGGGTTGTTTATGCATTGTTCCAGGTGTGATATTGTAAATTTTTTATTCTTTATAATATAGTGTTGCAAAGCAAATACTGCTTGGAATCATGATTAAAGCGTAAATAGTTACGTTCGTCATGCAAAATCATGTCTGTTAAACAAATTGAAGAGCATATGGTCAAAATAATTGCATGCTTAGGACCTTAAAAAAAATGCCAAACAAATTTATTTTTTTTAGGTCACATAATTCTGAAAATAATTTAATTGTAGTTGGATGTAGGGAGATGTACATACTTAAAATACATGTAGCTAAAAAGGGTTACATAAATATTTTTTTATCTTAAGTTCTGCTTGCTCGTGTCAATCGATGATCTTGAAAGGCACAAAGAGGGATGGTGTGGCTCTACTGGGCTGAGATCCAAGGTTATGGATTGTGCACTGAGGTTCTTCAACTGATGTTAATGCAGAGTTATCATTAGATGATGGTTGTACTGGAGTACTCAGGTATTTTGTAATGCATCTCTGGTCTGTTTTGCCCTGTAGAACTTCATACAGCTGATGGTAAGGTTTTTTTTTTTTTTTTAAACAAGTTGGCCGTCTCCCACCGAGGCAGGGGGACCCAAAAAGAAAGAAAATCCCCCAAAAGAAAATACTTTCGTCATCATTCAACACTTTCACCTCACTCACACATTATCACTGTTTTTGCAGAAGTGCTCAGAACACAACAGCTTAGAAGCATATATGTATAAAGATACACAACATATCCCTCCAAACTGCTAATATCCTGAACCCCTCCTTTAGAGTGTAGGCATTGTACTTCCCATTTCCAGGACTCAAGTCCGGCTATACAAAAATAACCGGTTTCCCTGAATCCCTTCAATAAATATTACCCTGCTCACACTCCAACAGATCGTCAGGTCCCAAATACCATTCGTCTCCATTCACTCCTATCGAACATGCTCATGCACGCCTGCTGGAAGTCCAAGCCCCTCACCCACAAAACCTCCCTTACCCCTTCCTTCCAACCTTTTCAAGGACGACCCCTACCCCACCTTCCTTCCCCTACAGATTTATATGCTCTCCATGTCATTCTACTTTGATCCATTCTCTCTAAATGACCAAACCACCTCAACAACCCCTCTTCAGCCCTCTTGACTAATACTTTTATTAACTCCACACCTCCTAATTTCCACACTCTGAATTTTCTGCATAATATTTGCACCACACATTGCCCTTAGACAGGACATCTCCACTGCCTCCAACTGCCTCCTCGCTGCTGCATTCACAACCCAAGCTTCACACCCATATAAGAGTGTTGGTACTACTATACTTTCATACATTCCCTTCTTTGCCTCCATAGATAACATTTTTTGTCTCCACATATACCTCAACACACCACTCACCTTTTTTCCCTCATCAATTCTATGACTAACCTCATCCTTCATAAATCCATCCGCCGACACATCAACTCCCAAGTATCTGAAAACATTCACTTCTTCCATACTCTTCCTTCCCAATTTAATATCCAATTTTTCTTTATCTAAATCACTTGATACTCTCATCACCTTACTCTTTTCTATGTTCACTTTCAACTTTCTACCTTTACACACACACCCAAACTCATCCACTAACCTTTGCAATTTTTCTTTAGAATCTCCCATAAGCACAGTATCATCAGCAAAAAGCAACTGTGTCAATTCCCATTTTGCATTTAATTCCCCATAATTTAATCCCACCCCTCTCCTGAACACCCTAGCATTTACTTCTTTTACAACCCCATCTATAAATATATTAAACAACCATGGTGACATTACACATCCCTGTCTAAGACCTACTCTTACCAGGAAGTAGTCTCCCTCTCTTCTACACACCTTAACCTGAGCCTCACTATCCTCATAAAAACTCTTTACAGCATTTAGTAACTTACCACCTATTCCATATACTTGCAACATCTGTCACATTGCTCCCCTATCTACTCTATCATATGCCTTTTATAAATCCATAAATGCAATAAAAACTTCATTTATTCCTGACCCTCTTCAAAAGAAATGCTTCTAAATGTGTTAGTCATCTTCAGTGAAAAAGTCTGCAATTGTAGCAGCAGCATGGAATTGCTCGTGTAACTGTTGGAGGGTTATATTCCTCATCCTCATCTGTTACATGCCTTCTGTCTGTGAATTGAGCTCCACCAATATTTCCTCTGGCATTCTTACTTTCTCATTATCTAAGAGTTCATTCATGTCCTCTGGCTGTGTATCATCAAAGCCCTCACCAAAGCCCTCCTTGTCCCATGAACAGTTTCCTGGTTTTGACTCTTTCCTGAGGAAAAACCTGTGAAATTATTTACCACACTAGGCAGTTTTGATATACTGTGCTGTAGTTGGTTGCATCTGCAATGTTAAATTTATGCCCTAACTCTGGCACTCCAAGTTCTGTGTGTGTCTGTTACTGCAAAAAGTTTCTTCACTACACTGCATGTGTACTTGCAGTTAAATGCTTTAGTAACTTCTTAGTCGGGTGGTTGTATCAAAGATGTCATATATGGTTATCAAAAGACAACTTTCACATGTGGGTGCACATCGTCCAGGAGTTCAGGATGAGTGCAGGAATTATCAAGTGAGAAGAATTTTAAATGCAAGGTTCTTGCTATGTGGGGTGAAGTCTGGCTTTGGAAATAAATTATGTTTGAACTGGTCAAATACAAGGCCTCAGTCATTTATGCTGACTGGTTAGACCTCCAAATAATGGGCAAAATACTTTTCTATTTACCTTTTCAAGCACAGGGAATCTTGGAAACAATAAATAAACATGAGCTTGTACTTAAACCACCTGATGTATTACTGTACAGAAGTAAACTAAAACAATCCTTGGCTGCCTTGAATCCAAGTGCATTTTTCTCTTGCTTTTCTTGCTGACGTACATAAGTTCTAGACAGTATCTTCCAATAAACATTTGTCTCTTCAGCATTAACTCTTTGGCTGTTGACACCCCTAAATTGAAAGCCCTTTTTGTGTTGGCACTTTAAAAATTTTAATTTCTTTTAAAATGGTAGAGAATCTTTTTTGAAATATGACAAAAATGTAAAATTTATGTAATAATGTACTCACAGAAATTACCCACATGTAAAGTTAGAGAACAGGGAGTAATTTTGACCACTCTGAGGCCTGTTTTAGGCCAATGAGAATTCTGAAACCAAACCACTTCCTGGTTATTTCACTAGTATGCCTTCTGTACTATCCACTGATTGCCCAGTTACTCATTAAAACTAATCTAAATTCCCAGAAGACTATAATTTTATCCCATTTTCAACAAATTCCAATTAAAAAAAAGTTCAAAACACACTTCAAGTGTTCCACCCCTTCAAGGGGGTGTCCCTTGGTGTGGTAAAGGGGCTCTTGATCTGAGGAATTATACCTCATTTCCTTCCTAAGATCGAATCTCAATGCCTCACTCCATCCCCTTCTTTATCTATTCAGACTCCTTATATTGGGATATTTTTAGCAGAGAGACAAGGGATCATTATCTGCCCTATTCCATCATGAGCTTTGGCAGTGGTGGTATTTATTGCGAAAATTGGATTATCCAGGGATGTGCTCAGCCACCCTTAAAGGCCCTGGTGGGTGGCTTCAATTATCCTTGGATAACAAGTATTTCTAGAAGCTGCCTTTTGGTTTGAGGCGGTGAAAACCAACGGGGTATGACTCCCAGCGTTTCCAGTTACCCATCTCTCTTGTTGGCTGAGCCTAGCTCGATTAATTTTGGAAGTGTCATCCGTGTGTACTGGGAATCTTGGTATACCAAGCAGGGTAAGCGTTAGTTTCCATGCAGCACCAGCACTACTGGCCACTCCAAAGGTGATCATAGACCAGGATGGGGCTGTCTGTGTGACTTGATTGCTCCTCGAAGCTGCCCCTCTTTCCTTCGTGTTTTTTTAAGAAAAATAATAAGAGAAAACAAATAATTTTTAATTTGCCTCCCTCCAAGCTCCATATGCCTGTTGCGTCCTTACCTGACTCCAGCATATCCACGGACCTTCCTTTGAACCTTGTATTGCTTTTGAGCAATATTTTATTGCCTGCCTCAGGTACCATTGTTCTGGCTGATCTTTTTGATGCTTCTAACCTCTATAGAGTGACCATGCTCCCGGCTTCTCCCATGACGACATACCAATATATTTGAATCGTTCACGTCACAGGATGAATTGGCTCAAAGCCAAAAAAATACCGTACCTGTAAACCTCTTCCCCTCCAATCTTTGAGAAAATTTTCTCTTCAACCAACAACACCTATTGATTACCTT